GGCCACGCCGGTTGGGAGTTGGGCTGCGTTGGGGCCCCCAGCGGTGGCCCGCTCCTGCTGGGAGGGGGATCAGGACCCGTGGCTCTGGGTTCTGACTTCCCAGTTTCCTCACGTGTCGGGTGTGGGGAGGCCAGGATGCCCGTCTGAGCGTGCTGAGGAGACTGGGCAGAGCGCGGAGTCACGTGAGGCTTACAAAGGCTGCGCTCTCCTCCTGGAAGGAAATTGAAACCAAAAGTTTGCTGGTTCTGTTGCCAACTGGACAGGAGAGGCCTCTCGCCTGGTTTTGGAAAAGAGAAACTTTCCTCTAGGCCAGAGCTTGGCTTGGAGAAGCTGGTGCAGACTGGGCTGGGTGGGCCTGCGGGGGCCGCAGTTGGCAGGCCTGCGGGTCCCCGCCCCTCCCCTGCCCCCGCCCGCTCTCCCGCAGTCTGAGTGCCCCGTGCCTCAGCCGGTGTCCCCGGGCGCCGGGCCCTTCCCGGGCTCGTGTCTGGGGTCGGGGCGAGGGACTTTGGCCAAGCGAAGCCGCACGTCTGCGGCGGTGCCCCGCGGGCCTGGAGCACAGCTGCCACTTGTGTTCCGTGTCATGGCCAAGCCGCAGCCTCCGCCTGGGCCCTGCCTCACGGCCACCTCTGCTGGCCGCGCTGATGGGCCGCTGGGCCCCTTGGCCAGGCTGCAGGATGCACCGGAGACGTGCCTGAGCCGGAGTAAGGGCTCCGGGCTGCCTCAGGACCGCCGGAGCGAGCTGCCCCAGCCGCGTGGACGTGGCGCCCTCTCCCGCGGCAGCGCCTCCTGGGCGTGGCCCGGGTCAGGCAGTGAGGTCCTGGGCGGCCCCTGCTGCGCCTGCTGCCTCCGTCCCTCAGCCAGGCCGGCGGGATGCTGCCGGCTCTGCTGTGCCGAAGGCTGCGGCTGAGCCCGCGGGCCTGACCGGCGAGGCGCTGCCCTTGGACACGCCCACCCTGGCTGGCCGCAGCGGTAGCTGCTCCCACCTCAGCACCCGGGCCTTTGCTTTCCCAGGGGAGCAGAGTGCGAGGAAGGGCGTGGGCCCCGCGCGAGCCTGGCCGGGGGCCGGGCATGCCCGTCCTGCTGCGGAGGGCGCAGGTACAGCCCCACTGGGTCTGTGAGCACGGGCATCTGGTGAGTTGTGTGCCGTTTTGGTCTGAGGATGTGGAAGCGCCAAGCGGGACCATGAGACTGCCCAGGGCCTCCCGGTGGGCGCTGGCGCCTCTAGAGAGGAGTGGCAGGGCCCGGGTGAGCATCGGGGCGGCTGGGCCCTGGCCCGCCCCAGCCCAGCCCAGC